GGCATAGACATAGAATGGGATTTTTGGACAAATGCCAAATGCCACATAAGAAGCTTTTATTGACCTTTTTTGCCTTTCCTCCGTCTTCGTCACCTGATGACTTTCCTGCTTTACTTTGTCGGCTTTGGTAGGGTGGTAGCATGTCCTTTAGCAAGGCTAGGCACCTTCCTTAAAGGAGGCAGCATCCGATCTTTAGCATCCTAGCCAGGGAAATCCCCAAATCGCGAGTCCGGGGCATATACTTTTTCTTTATCCCCCAGAGAATCCGACAAGAAAGAAGATAAAATAAAGTACATATATATGGGCAAGATCCATATTCCATTTCTAACAGTTCCTTACTTTCTATTCTCTAATCTCGTATGGCAGCTTTCAGTCTCATCTTCAGTTTCGGGACATTGTTCCTATGCCTCTTTGAAGTGAAGCCCTTATATCGAATGATTCAAGACATTTGATTTTATAATAGAAATGAGAGGACAGCCGAATTGACAGAAAATAGTCTGAACTTGTTGATCAACTCTCTTTGTTGAAGGTCCTACCTTAACAGTCGATCATGCGCTCACACTCGATCATGCGACAGTCGATCTGTCCATCCGACTACATTCACTGGGGGGTGAGGTTGTCCAATTTCAATTATGTGCCGCTCGTTGACATCTAGTTTCCATTGCCGGTGTGAGAGATCTTCCTTCGGTTCTAGTCAAGTATGGCAGCTTGAGGTCTCCTATTTCACTTTCACCAGCCATTGGGAACTCAAATAAACTTTCATTTAACGGCAGGCGAGAAAGGTTCTGAAAGAAAGAAAGGTAGAAGGGGGGTTTGCTCCCGTTTCGGGGTTCTCTTGTGGACTGGCTGTTGACTGGCCTTTGCCTGGGGAGAAAACCGGTGCTTTTAGCTTAAACGGATTTTAACTGGATCGGAGCCTTTCGGAAATCCTCCCTTTTTGGCTTCACTTGAGCGGTTGACGCAATCCAAGAGGAAGAGGAAGCTAAACCCGTGCTGACGAATAACCAAACCCCTTAATTCGTCGAGTAAAGTAAATAGGGAAGGTATAGGTTTGCTATGAATGACCCAGTATCGAATACAGGTAATAATATCAGCAAAAGAACGTTCTCCCGTGCTTCCAGACATGCTGAGCTCCACATATTCATGTACAGAAAAAGCGGGGGGTCGATTCTGTGAAAGATAGGATCAGTAAATGGAAATTCACTGAGATTTAATTTAAGTGAGATTTTCAATAGTGGTACCGAGGGTGTCTTTAGAGTATACCGAATCAGTATAGCTATCCTTCTTCTCTTCTGACACAGCAACGAAATTTCAATCAGTATAGAAAAGAAGTGATACAATATTTCTTTCTTCCTTAGCGCAAGCACTAAGTAAGCAAGCTACCTCTATCTTCTTTAGTCAATTCTAATTGTTCACTCTTAGTTGACCGTTCCGCTGGGGCTTCCTCTTTGAGTGGAAGCCCTGCGCTGCACCCCAGTGTTGAATTTCTTGATCGACGAAACGAGTTATTGCCTTTAAGGGTTCTTGCCCGAGATGAGTTATTGCCATTTCATTTTTACGGGGGAAAGGAACAGACTTTAGTTGACGGAAAGGAAATGTATATTGATACGTTCAATCTCGTCCCAACATAGCCCCCAGCCCTCTCCTTACGATGATTCCAAATCCAGGATAGGAATCAAAAGTTATTCCATGTATGCCTATGATGTAGCACCAGGCGGATTGTTAGCTAGTGTGTATCATCTTACGAGAATACAGTATGGTGTGGATCAACCGGAATAGGTATGCAAATAAGTCTTTGCCAAAGGGAGGAATCAAATCCTAGAATCCCATCTGTTTTCTGGATTTTGAAAAGTGAAGATTTTCAAGAACGGAAATCTTTTGATATGTTGGGAATCTCTTATGAGTTTCATCCACGCCCGAAACGTATCTTGATGCCTGAAAGTTGGATCGGTTGGTTTTTTATTCTATTGCCCCAATTTCTATGAAATAAAGGATGCTCATTGAATGAATCTTAACTTATACGACTCCAGATATTCTATAAGATTATTACGTTCTGTTTTCGATGAAACAGAGTAACTGGACTCTCGCTCGTATTCTATTCTGGAATAAAAAAGGGCTTCATTTATATTCCTAAATCTGGAAGATATCATATCTATTTGGGATGAGCAGAGCCGATTTCACTTTAGTAGAGACTTGGTTCGGTATCTTTAATGGCGAGGGAGAGTTAGACTCCGTTTCAAAAGAAAGGGGATTCTCACATAATGACGATCAAGTACCAGTTGAGGAATATAGATAAGAATAAATTGGGCCAACCCGCGAGCAAGTTGGAGAAAGCGCTTGATGAGCCCCTCCAAAAAGTAGAGTAGTTCCGGTGCAACCACATATATCCTACAGAAAAGTTTTGCTGTTTCAATGAGTCGGTACCCGATGTTTCGACCAAGGAACAAACAACCGGAAAAAACCATTCCCTGCAAAAGGGATGGGACCCCCGACCGCGCTTATGACTCGTCCGTATCGTCTCTCATGCCGTATCCATTCTCGTTTAGGTCGACCGCTCTACGATGGCTAAGCTTTTTTCGAGAGAGGCAGACTTGGACTTGACTGACAAAGGTTTCCGAATTCTAATTATTAATGCCATAGTTATACTCCCGCCGCATTGATATTCTTTGAACAGCGGTTGCGCTTTGAAATCAAGGTAGTTGTTTACTTGCTCAACCATAATACCAGGGCCCTATCAATGACAGGTAAACTGTGCTATAAAGTACTAGAATATCATCCCGTATGGCTTTCTCCTCTCTCTTATCTTCGATCAAGCTACTTCGTTCCTTCTGTGATGAGAAATTCCCTAACGAAAGCTAGCCTTCTTCCATCGGATGCATTATCTAAAGGGCAGAGGTTGGGTAAACATGCTACAGATTCCGTAGTTCCATTATTGGATTAGCTTACATTACCAAAGGTTAGAGGAAATGTCGTAGATCTCAGTTGAGAGACTGAATGCGGATTTTTTTTTAAGAATTTAAAAGGAAAAGAAAGACTTCGTCCCACTCTCGGATAATGAAATCACCAAATGCTGCTCGACGAGCCTCTCCCTGAAGAAAAAGACACTCCGGCCTAACATAACAGCACTTTCCTTACCCGTTGTGCTCTGTCTGAGATAAGGAGCAAAAGGCTAGACGGAAGACCTCTAATCTACCAATCAATCTAGCTAGCATCCTATGATTTTTGTTCCAGAGGCCAATAACCCGAAAGTAAGTATTTACATCTCCTGCCAGGTGTAAGATAGAGGTTTAAAGCTCTCTTGGCAGCCTCTACGCTACGCCCGGTTCACTCTTTTCATAAGGGCTTTACCCGCTCAACCATCAGAAGGGGGCTTTTCCCATCATGCCATGGAGTGAGTAACTAGCTCGGCTAACCACTAAGTCGCTCATGCACAAATTCTTACAAAAAGGGGAGCCCCGCGAAGGGTGGAGATGAATCTATATCTGTCAATCACAAAGCCAAGACATCCCCCAAACGTAGATTGTAACAACCAACGAATTTCTTTTCTATTCCTGTCTGGTCTAACCAATTCTCGAGGTTTAATGGCCTTTGGCTGCCTCCTCTTCCTTGCCAGTTGAGCTACTTCCACTCCTCTTCCTTGCCAGTTGAGCTACTTCCACTCCTCTTCCAATTTGAGTTTCCTCCTCTGTTTAGTTTGAAACTGAAAGGCATAGAAGCTCTCTAGAGAGCTACCGTATCCATGAGGGGCAAGCCAATGCTTTAGAGCTCTTTAGCTGCCTCTGCACGAATTCTTCTTCCGGTTGGAAAACTATACCTCTTCTTTCGTCTTGCGATTGGATGAACCAGCAAGTGTTTTTCATGCATTGACCTCGGTATCGTAAACACATATCTACTGCTTGCTGCCCTTGAAAGTCCCAAAACAGCCTATTTTAGACCCTAATTTAACGTTGCGCCGAGAGTTATCGTTAAATCCAATGGCAAGAGCCCTAACCTCGGCTGCTGCCCCGGGCTGTCATATGTTGGGATCGCCTGCCCGAAGGGCCTAGATCTGAGTCTCCTATTCTGTTTCTGTTTTAGAGAGATAAACCCCCCTTTACTTTACTAAGTCTGGTGCCTCTGTTCCTTGGGCCCTATCATCAATAGTAAGCTAATCCAATTATGCATGTGTTCCACAGCTCTCATTTGAATCATTTGCCCGGAAAAGAGCTAGATCTTAAAAGTCCCGCATATACCGCTTCGAAAGGAAAGATAGGAACAGGTTTAGTTGAGGCAGAAACTCTGGTTGCTTTGAGCTCCCTCATTGGGATCAAACCGACCGGCAGAGAGCGAACAGCCTACTTTAAGTAGTTCTATTGCTGGTAAGCTTAGCCGCCTGAACACGACGAGACTCTCTTTAACATATGATGTCGTCGGAGAAGTTTCTAGACTTCTTTGCCTTTGGCTTCTTCCGGTATGATGGAATTGACTAGGGTTCACCAGAAATAATTAAATAGCTAGATAAATACAAGAGCCATTCCGTCACTACAGAATCTGTGAGAAGTGGAAGTATAGTTTTTGTTTATCCTGGCGACCTAGCACCAGTGCATTCGAGAAATTTCAAGTCACATCCCTTGGTGGGAAAGAGCAGCGGCATCCTCAAGCTAAGCTATGTCATCCACAGGTCATGGAAATCAGGAGTTTCGCGCGTTGTTCCATCTCGAATTGAAGCTCGGTGTGCTCGCCGGTCGGTAACTCTTATTCGAACTGCCACGGTTAGGTCTCACAAAGACCTTGCCTCGTCAACAGTACTTGCTTACTTATGAAAGCCGCTTTCAATATAGCAAATTCTGCGCATTGCTCAGGGGATTTAATAAAGATCAGTCCAGGCGGAGGAAGTTTGATATTGGCATGTGTCTGGTAGCATTTTGAACCATATCTAGTTAATTAGTAGGAATTTTTTTATGGAAGCATACGAAAACATAAGAATTTGAACTCCTATCCGAGCTGCTGGGGCCTTGATCATGCCAGAGTTGGAATGCCGAACACCCGCTCTTCTTGATTTAAACCCGATTAGGTTGCCCGCTCTCTCTATGGATAGGAAGATCCGGAGAAAGCGGCAGTGGAAGCAACGAAAAGAGCTCCGTTCCTCGCCCAGACACTCCAATTCTTTTGGTCGGGCTACTCCGTTCAAACCATCAATCGGCGGTTCCTTACTAAGAGATTAAACCGGAATGAGATATTATCTCTGTTGGCTTCGCTTCGTGGACAAATAGGAATGGTACTTGACCGCCTATTCTTAAATAAAAATGGAAAATACTAAGACTAATACAAGGCTGGTTCCAAAGCAGATTCATTCAAAGCCGGTTCATCCAATCACAAAGCAAAAGAAGGAGGAGGTTACCCGCCGACTGAAAGGAGAGGGGACGGGGGTTGACCCGCAGTAGTAGTTGAGTTGTCGGAGCGTCTATACGGGCCTTCGATTGGGGTGAAGCTAAAACGGAGTTCCTTTCTTCTTTGTCCGCTTCAGTTGGAGGTGAGTCTTTTTCTGATGGTTATTCCTCCTAATCTACGATGTACGCACCGCGGCGGTCTCAAGATCTTTCTTTATCTTTATTCTGGTTTTGTTTTCCCCCGAGCGCATCTTCCTTTTTGAATGAGCAAAGGTGTGGGCCTAGGTTTAGTAAAGAGTAAGGGACATATCGACGAACTGCGGATTAGCTCTTTCTGTTGTACGCTGCTGCTGTTTGATACATTTAGGTGGAGCAGGTAAACTCCCTCGGGGCGTTTCGCCAAGCCCTTTGACACCTTCTTTCTGGTCTATCCTCTGACGATATTTTATGATTCGACGGAGGCCCTCCCTCAGGCATGGTAAGCAAGTAGACTACTTTGGCCCTATCAACTTAGTTTGCGCCGCGTAGATATCTAGCATCTGGACGAGCAGCCACCGTTTCGGATCAAAAAGTAAAGAGGGCGCCGCCCGATTCTTTCTTTTCTAGTCCCTCCACCGAACCAGATCTACTAAAGACTTCAACGGTTTCTTTTTTTTTTTTGGTACCGGTGTTGGAATTTCGTGGATAAGTCGTGACAGAGCCGATGAATCCAATTATGAAAGCAAGGCTCCCGCTAAATAAAATTTTGAAAGTATCGCGGTTAGTTCTTCCGAAAGGAGGTGGGGCGAGAAGCCCGTCTTAGTCTGTATAAATGGTGAAACGGGCGCAAAGGAACGTAGCGAAGCGGAGTAGCTCGATAGACGAACGCGGCTTACCCCACTCAGCCGAAAAGCGAGGGTCCGGAGGAGAACTACCTTTTTTCTTACGATTGGCATTATCAGGTACTCCCCCAGCAGTTTTGCCGAAGCAGCGATATACTTCATTTCTTTGTCCTTCAACTAAAACTAATCCAATGGAACTAGGAAATTCATAGGAAAGCCCTCAAAAGATCGGATAAGGCAGCTCATATAGTTCTTGTCTTTCTATCTCCATTTTTCAACCACAGGACCCGAGATTTCCGTCTCATAAGAGACTCCTCCGCGTCAAGCATTGCATTAAGTTCATATAGTTTTCGAGTTTAATCCATCGCTGCTTGCTCATTTCCTTGGTCCTTCGCAAGAATGGTTTCTCGTACAGCTCATCCTTAAGGACGTTGATTCTTTCAGCTATTTTGCCAAAGGTGGTAACGTTCTAACCTTTCAGCGCCTCTTTGACCGCTTTAAGCTTTTGGACACTTGGAACATGGGGTTGCCCTCAACTCGGATATTCCACGCTTGCTTCACAGTTCGGAGAAAGGGGGGATGATTAGACTGCGCATTAATAAACCTTTAAGGTTTATGGCTGTGCTGCACTGAGTGATTCAACTGAATAATGCCTGGGGCATGGTCAGATAGTCCATTAGTACCAGTAATAACTCTAGCTTCGGAGAAGAGAGTAACAATCTCACGGTTAACCAGAATTCTGTCTAACTTGCAAGCTATTCTTCTTCGGCCTTCGAAAACTAAGAGTTTGGTTGAAACTATTGTTGATAGATATCACACGCTTTTTATTGTTATATATATATATATAACGTTATAAGTATAACTAACTGAAAGCGTCCGTTCACGTCAGGAATAGAGGTTGTTGATGTAGTTGCTTGTAGTTTTCTTTGATTTTTCTCGAGTTGGTGCATATTGCATATATAGGCTCCGGAGAGAGAATCAATGTTCGGTAGTACGCCTGGTTCGCCAGGTTCTACCACTGCAGGGCCCAATCATACTCAAAAGAAGAGTATGATCTTGGCTCAGAAGGAACGCTAGCTATATGCTTAACACATGCAAGTAGAATACGGCCGTGCTTGCTCGATCAGTGGAGTGAATGGACTCCACGGGTGAGAGACCAAAAAGGAGCAGCGGGTTAAAGTCTTCGCTCGCTTTCCAACCACCGAAAAATGGACTTCAAAAAAAAGAGGGAGAATACCTTTGCCTGACATAACTACAAACAAGCAACGGATGAGTGCCCTAGCGCGAAATGGAAATCGAAAAAGAAAAGATTTAACGGCTCCTTTGCGGGATGGGAAGCATCCCCCCTCCCCCCTTCAAGTAGACAATTCGAGATCCCCCTTGCTTAATTCACTCAATTAGCAATTTAAATTGGAATTGGAATATTCCCCCGCTCGAAAGAGTTCGCTCATCATCCTTTCCCTCGCCAAATACGGGGGACATGTTACCATGTATCCAAACGGAGAAGCAGAAGCAGAAGAATAGGATTGAGATTGCCAAAGACCTTTTGGGGGAAGTCAAAAACAGTAGCAGTTGGGGACGCCTAGTCCATCATACTATAGTGGTCTTACATACAGCTAGTGTCGGCAGGAATGGAACAGAAATCTCGTATATGAAAAATTTTTAGTATATATAGCGGAGTAGCTTTCTTTGTTTGAAGGCTTCAAGTGAGAGAGAGGATAGGATCAAACCATCGCATCACCAAAAGGTGCTCGGGTGTACCTTAGAGCAACGAAAACGAAGACTTTCGAGAACAAATATTGGACCGGGAATCAAAAGGGGTAAAGTAAAGTAAAAGCGCATATGGCACGAAAAGGAAATCCGATGTCGGTAAGACTTGATCTGAATCGTAGTTCAGATTCAAGTCGGTTCAGTGAGGGCGACCGCGAAAGTCACCGAATGGGTCAGTCTTTTCCTTCAGTTTGTCCTATATTAAAAAAAAGCGTGGGAGGACATTGCAGATGTCCGGGACGGACACGACTTCTTCTAACGCTAGAAGACCACTGGAAGACACCCGGGACCAGAGCATGTCGTGAAAGAAGCACACTGGGCGGGCGTGCTTCGACCGTGTCTCCGGGGCACAGTTGAATGTAGATATCATGAATGCGAGGTGCAGGAGACCAGGCCGAGAAACCCGGGCAACCACTCCCCTATGTGCCGATCGCTAGCGCATCCAGGGCCCCGGCGCCCAGCTCGGCCGGAGAGGCCTAGCCTGATCTGAGAAGTGCTAATTCGGTTCGGATAGACTTCATTCAAGAACGCCGCCGCCCCTGGAATCAATAAGAAAACAAGTGCAAAGTTTCAGATCAGTGAATAAATCGAAACGAAAGAAGAGACGTTTCTCGCTCGGCGCCTAAAGCGCACTATGCTCCGCTTCAACAAATGAGAGTTTTCGGTGGAACCGGTGAACCACGCGAGCTGGTTAGATGCGCGGGACAGAGGGCTCGTAGTACCTGCTAGCGCAGCTATGCTCTGTAAGGGAAGGAGCCTAAATCGAACCCCTTCTTTCTTTTTTTTTCTTTGAAAAAAAGCAGTACAAAGAGATTCTCGGATGAGACTAAGCAGCCACCGACCGTTCTGACGCGCCCCTGACCTATCTTGATTAAGACCGAAAACTCTCTAAAATGGAGCCTGGTTTAAGCTGTCAAACAAATGATAGAATAGAAAAAAAAAGAACCACTAGTAGGGATATGGATGGAGTCTCGCTCAGTAAAGAGAGTTGTAGATTAGTAGAAAAGGAGAAGAGCCTTTACTTGATATATTATATATAAGTATTAGTAAAGCGCTAACGCTGCCATTTTTCTAAAGCAACAAGCGCGAAACTTTACTTTTTGAGAAAGAAGGTGCTTGTTGCCGCTTTATTAGTAAGTAAGCTTGTTTTATATCATATCAATAAAGGCGAAAGGTTGCTTTACCAAATAATATAAGGCGCGTTAGCGCTTTAGAAGGACATTTAGGCTTTACTAATAGAATATATAGGGCGTTTTTTTTCACGCAGGTTTGGAACCCGGGGCGTTTCCTTTCAAATGACAACAGCCTCTTCCTGCTGCGAGGGCGCTGCGCGAAACCAAACCGCCCCCCCCCCGCCCGATCAAGTACCAGTTGCTTTGCCGGCGGGCCCACTTAGGTTAGGGGGGCATTGTCCCTCAGTTCTTACCAACCTCCGGTGTGTAATCGACATGTTGCTAGCTTCAACTCGGTTGAATAAGAATCATTGATTCCCTATGCTGTCCATTTCTTATTCATTCAGGGCGCTCGGCCGGTGCTCCTTTAAAAAACCAAAACCACTCTGAACGTAAGGGAAGATAAGGGAAGACCGCCTGAGCGAACCGACCGAAAGGACTTTTGACTTATTTGAACCGAACGATAGCGGCTTAAAGCTAAGCCTATCACGAGCAGCGTCGCTGCTTGATCGGCGGGGAGGAGCATCTCAAAGTATGGGGCAAAGGATCAAGCGCTTTGACTTTGCCCCCCGGGATCCACCACGGGTTGGGTTTGAGAGCCGTGTGATGGGTGACTATCCTGCACGGTTCGGGGAGCACTTTTTGTCTGCGTTGGTGAATGGAAGCCCCCACTATCAAGCAAGAAAGAAGCGGCTCTTCCCACGGCGGAGTCCCCATTGACTCTATTTATTATTATGGTAAATCAGTGTATCAAGATGTCAATCTGAGATCTTATTTCGGTTCAATACGTCCACCTACGAGACTGACCTTTGGCTTTCGTCTCGGTACGTGTATTATAATAAATTTTCCCAAAAGAACATTCATTCATTTCTTTCTTCCCCGTCGACCACGACGACTGAAACGACACGAAAAATCCAGACCCGGAAAGGAGAAGGGCCGGTGGTGGGCATTTGGGAAAGTCGGGCCGATCGGGTGTCTTCATTCAAGCGACGATACAGAAGAAGAACGAAACGAAGTGAGAGGCCGGGGGGCAGGGAAAAGAGTCGAGTCGATCAGGCTCGACGACCGGGAGAAGCAAAACGAAATTAGGATTTGGCCGAAAAAGAAGCAACGCTATGGATACCATGACCGATCACCATCGATAAAGAAGAATCTTTCTAAATCACTTCGGGTCAGCAGGGCCTTCAAGCATCCGAAATACGCCGGGGTTGTAAATGACATAGCGTTCCTGATAGAAAATGACGACTCCTTCAGAAAAACTAAGTTATTCAAGTTCTTTTTGCCAAAGAAGTCCCGCTCCGACGGCCCGACGAGGCATCTACTTAAAAGGACCCTCCCTGCAGTGCGCCCCTCCTTCAATTATTTGGTCATGCAATACTTATTGAATACAAAGAACCAAATGAATTTCGACCCCGTCGTAGTTCTCAATCATTTCGTGGCACCGGGCGTGGCTGAACCATCTACGATGGGGGGAGCGAATGCACAGGGAAGAAGCTTAGATAAGAGAATACGTTCTCGCATCGCTTTTTTTGTAGAAAGCTCGACCAGCGAGAAAAAGTGTTTGGCCGAAGCCAAAAAGAGGTTGACCCGCTTCATCCGCCAAGCGAATGATCTTCGCTTCTCGGGAACAACAAAAACCACCATCTCGCTCTTTCCTTTTTTCGGTGCTACCTTTTTCTTTCCAAGGGATGGGATTGGGATGTATAATAACCTTTTTTTTGAGGATGCCCGGGAACAACTCCTAGGTCAATTAAGGATCAAATGTTGGAACCTCATGGGTAAGGATAAGGTAATGGAATTGATAGAGAAATTCATAGACCTAGGTAGGATAGGAGAATTGATAAGGGGAATAGAGATGATGATAGAGATCATACTGAGAAACAGAAGAATTCCGTACGGGTACAACTCTTATTTGAACGAAGTGAAAAAAATGCGATCTTTGTTGTCTAATAGAACAAACACTAATACCTTAATTGAGTCGGTCAAGATCAAATCTGTTTATCAAAGTGCTTCTCCGATTGCTCAAGACATCTCTTTTCAACTGAGAAACAAAACAAGATCATTTCGTTCCATTTTTAGTAAAATAGTGAAGGATATTCCATTAGTAATGAAAAAAGGGGTTGAGGGGATCCGTATATGTTGTTCAGGTCGATCAAAAGGCGCAGAAATTGCTAGAACTGAATGCGGAAAGTATGGAAAAATATCTCGTAATGTATTTAACCAGAAAATAGATTATGCTCCTGCGGAAGTATCTACCCGTTACGGAATCTTAGGTGTCAAAGTGTGGATTTCATATTGTTAAAAAAGAAGGGGGGCATGCTTTTTCTAGAATGGCTATTCTTCACTTCGGGCCCGGTGGAACTTGTTCCAAACGAGCCCTCTTCGGGCGAATTCATTTTTTCTGCCGTTTCCTTAGCGTTTCACACTAAGCAAGTAAACTACCTTTTTTTTTTTTCATTTTTTATAGTTGCCTCTGCGGTTATCCTACGTATGAAAAGGGATCCCGTTTTGATTGCTCTTTTTCGTTCCCGCCCTCTCACAATGCGGCCCTTTTTCTTTGCAATAGCGTTTTTATTAATAATCTGTGTAAACATCCAAATAGCCGCCTGCGACGGGGGAATTCCTTCTCCCGTGCCAAATTTACATCCGGAGGTTCCCCCCGACACCGGTGTTCCCCAAGGGGCACCGGTGCAGATTCCTGTCCCACCTGAAATTCCCCAACTAGAAGAGCCTTTAATGTCCGTGGAGGATAGGTGGAAGGAACTTCAGCTACGGTTAAGTTTGTATTTCCTCGGGAGAAACAGTTGGTCGGACGTCGGGCCATTCGTGAGAATCCTGGAGAGGCAGGTGCCTATAGAAACAAAGATAGAAGCTGCATTGGTGGACGATGGATATAATCGGGAGGATATCCATCAAAAGAGGTTCGAAATAAGGGGAATCCTCTTTAACCGTGGGGTGAACGCGCTTTCTGAACGTACCTTAGATGAGTATTTGGACCAAATCGAAAGAAATGGCACTCGGCAGAGCACTCCCTATAGAAACGTAAGTAGGGCTATCCAGAATTTGGATCTAATTCTGTGACTCCTTCTTTCTCCCATGCTTTCCGTTGGTCAACAACCAACCACAGCTCTCTATAGTTCTTCACTACTCGTACAGGAAGGTAAGAACCACTTTTTTTCTGGAGGGAATCATTTTTTCTCAATCAAGAATGCCTCAACTGGATAAATTCACTTATTTCACACAATTCTTCTGGTCATGCCTTTTCCTCTTTACTTTCTATATTCCCATATGCAATGATGGAGATGGAGTACTTGGGATCAGCAGAATTCTAAAACTACGGAACCAACTGGTTTCACACCGGGGGAACAACATCCGGAGCAACGACCCCAACAGTTTGGAAGATATCTTGAGAAAATGTTTTAGCACCGGTGTGTCCTATATGTACTCTAGTTTATTCGAAGTATCCCAATGGTGTAACGCCGTCGACTTATTGGGAAAAAGGAGGAAAATCACTTTGATCTCTTGTTTCGGAGAAATAAGTGGCTCACGAGGAATGGAAAGAAACATATTAGATTTGATCTCGAAGTCCTCATATAGCACTTCTTCCAATCCTGGATGGGTGATCACTTGTAGGAATGACATAATGCTAATCCATGTTCCACACGGCCAAGGAAGCATCTTTTTTAATCTCATTATTACTTGGTCGTTAGGAAGAGATTCTTTCTCGATCTGAATAGTGGAATGGAAGGCACTACAAGAAAGATATACCCCTTTTCAAATCGCCCCGCGAAGACGGACGTTCAGAAAGGTTATCGAGATTATCAATCTTTTTAGTGGGGAGGAATAGTGCGGGAAGGGAGCGAGACCAAGCCGAGCCACTAGGAGAGTAAGGACTTCCCACGTGTCAAAATGAATGCAGCCTCAACCAGAGAGATCAACCTGCGCCTTTGATTTTAGGACGCCGGCGGCGCAGAACGCACTAATCCGCGACCAGCTAGTTTTCCGAAACCGAACTGAATAGAATTGTGACTTTCCAAAAATGCTTGCTGAAAATCAAAGAAAGAAGGTCCATTTTCCCACGTAGTTCGTCGGTCAAACCAACGATTCTCTTCTCAAAGTAATAGAGAGATCTTTTTCTAGTTAGACTTCTATCAATGCAATGAAAGAACCATCCCTTCCTATTTG